CTAACATCATTCCAGCAATCTGGGCCAACGTTGACAAGGGTCAGAAGTGGACTATCTCGATTGGACTGCTTCAAACGGTGTAGTCGCATTGCTGGGTGCGGTAGTGCGTCGTACGCTTAAAATCGGTGCGAGGTACACTTTCGAACTCGGTGGACTGGCTCACAGTTGTGGCTGCTTAAGACCTATGCGAGATACCTCTGCGTATTAGGGCCCGACGGCCGGGAGACGGTCTAGTTAGCATATATGTTTTACCCTTGGTATAGGTTTTTGCTGTAGGGTTCTACTTTTTCCTATATCCTCGTGCAAATGCAAAGGTTACGGTACTTTCTGGTTAAGGATGCTATCTAGGCTGAAATGTCGCTCATATGTAGGGGATAATGTCTGCCGAGTGGGTCTGCCCAGGGCGGATCATGCTCTTGCTCACTGAGCATGATCATGGCTTCTCTTTTCCCTGAATACCTGGGGATGCCGGAGTATAGGATGCTGGACTTCGTCATGATGATAGATAGATTGGTTGGCACTCGGTGGCCTATTAGTAAGTTGCGGCCCCGCAACTGATTGGAGTTGGTATGTCCGTAACATATCTGTTTGAATTCGGCAAATGATTCAGGGTGCGGAAACCGTGGTAAATCTTGGGAAAGATATGGTCCCATGACCTTTTGATTCGTGAGACGATCAAGATGGACGAAAATCGTAGTGTTTCTTAAGATACCAGTGGTCTGACGGGAGCTTGATTCATGGGAAACTCTTAGAGTAGCTGAAGAATCGTGTTTTCTCCGTCTTCGATAGGCTCGAACAAAACACAATTGTTCTCGGCTTTGGCGGCGCAATGCGGGAATTTTGCTGGTGTTTTCCAAAGTCACCAACACATTTTGGCTTGTTTATGTCAGCTTTTACGTGTGCCCAGGTGTCGAGCAGAGAATTAGCTTACTGTTCATATTATAGATAATGGTATGCTTTCACCAACGCTGCAGGCTATGGGACACGGGTTAAGGTTGGATGACCTGGCGCAATTTTTATACGCAATGGTCGATGCACATATTACCCAACTAACAAGCCGATGCCAACTGTACTTGGGGCACATATATTTCACCAAATTTAGATCGACGATTCACATGATTTGACAACAACGCACCCATGGTCACAGTGATATCCAACGAACACGGGGTGCAGAGTACAATGTGTAAGATAGACTGTGTACTCCATACTTTGGCTTAAATAACCCGATATGGTTAAAAAGAACCAAATGCGCGAGACGACGGACACTCTAGTATATGTAAGATTAAACTACACTGTTGACGAATACAGTGTGCAATCATATAATCTGTAACCGTACAATCTTCAACCCTACAGTGTGTAAGGCTACATGTGAGATTGAATGGTCGAAACATAAGCCATCCAGCAAGGATTACGTTAAATGCGGTGTCAATGAATCCTAGGCTCGGTAAATTGACCAAATGTCACCTAGAATACCTAGGTAGCTCTACACGGGAGATTCTATTCCTCCTTGCCCAATAACGGGATCTCAACCTTTCTGCGTATCTAATGATATTACAGTACTGTACGTAGGGTAATTGGTTTTGAATATCGCTTTTCCCACTCAACATCGTCGTCTTGAGGCTGCACATAATGCTATAGCCAGGCGACATACGTTAGTATCTCATCGTAGTATCCTCGTTGGAATTTTATAGTCACATTATAAGTGGGTTGGGGGGGGGGGGGGGGGGGGGGGGGGGGGTTGTG